TTTTTCCTGCTTTCTTTTTAGCTGGCTTTGTTTTTCTACTCCTGTCTTTGTTGTTTCTGTTATGTCCATGTATATAAGACAGGCATGAGAAACAAACCTTAGGAGAAAGCAAGGGGACTGATGGTTCTCTGGGAAATTGGAGGAAGAGAAGGTAGGGGAAAGGGAGTGGTGAGCAAACAAAGTCATGGATAGGGGAACAACCAGGGATCTAAAATTGAGGGTGAGGGGTGGTGGTAAATAGTTGCTGAAGGACATTGGAGCAACCATAATCTAGCTGAAAGGAACTACAGAGGGGCAAGCAAGAGGTGAGTGTGATAGTGGGTAGGGGGAAGGTAAAAGGAAATAGTGGAGAGAACTATGAAGCAAAACTATTTATAGAGGTATAAACTTAGGTACATATATAAATGTAGTAATAAATAAAACCTGGAGTTTTGGAGTACATATATTTTATTGAGGTAACGAATGGACTTTGGCCTCTACCCAAGTTTTCCCTCAATATGAGAACATTTGGATCTAACAATCTGGTAATGGGTGATGCCCACCTTCCTGACAAGATCACTGAAGACAAACAAACTTGTTACATAAGCAAATGTGGTGAAGAAAGCAAATGGTGCCTGGCTATTAAAAAGTATTGCATCTGGGATCTTAAAAGCTTGAAGCCAAACATCCTGCAGGGAATCAACAAAGCCCTCATGAAAGAAGTACACCAGCCTGTGTGATCATGAGGTGTCAATGGGAACAGGCATCGCATCAGAAGTTCAAAAATAAGCAACCACACTGAGGTAAAGGAGAGGGGTCAAGGTAGAGACCCAGAGCCCAATTATCCGGAGATAATGGGACATTCCAGCACAGAGGGGCCCCACAAAAGAGCAGATACATCCAGGAGGGCAGTAAAGCAGAGATGAAACACACAGCACGTCTCTAGGTCCTTAATCCTTCCTCCCTCAACTATTCTGATCTCAGTCCTACCTCACAAATCTAGCAAGTCTGGCATGCATGCATCAGTATAGATGATAGTTTTCAATTTACAGAATTCAGTATAGACAAACCCCTCAGAAACAGTAACGGGAGTAATGACTTCAGGAGGGTAGGGGAAGAGAAGGGTGGAGGAAGAGGTGGAAGGGGGAACTGATAGCAATGATAATAAAATAACCCCCCTCAAGGGCGATGTATATTAAGGGTATATTAAGGGTTTGTGAGGGTGGCAGGGCAGGGGATGGAGGGAAAACAGGAACTTACATCAAGGGGCTCAAGGAAAAAGGTAATGTTTTGACATTGTTGATGGCAATATTTGTACATATCTGCCTAATATAATGGATGTATGGATGGTTATATTTATAAGCCCTCAATAAAATGATTTATTACTAAAAAATAAAAATGTATTCTAATTCTGGAAGCTATAAAGAATATATATAATTATAAAGACTTTTTATCCAGATGTAGCTATTTGATTAGCTGGTACAGAATCAGTCCATGAATAAAATTCATTCATAAATCCTCTTACCATTATATTTTATCACATAAAGTTGATTTACATGGATTTTCCTTAGACTTCATGAATCAACCTCTTACACTTCCATTAGGAGCCCTGGTGGTGTAGTGTTTAAGCATGGGGGTACTAACTACAAGGTCAGCAGTTTGAAGCCACCAGCCATTCCCCAAGAGAAAGACGAGGCATTCTGCATCTGGAGAGATGGACAGCCTCAGAAACACACAGGGCCAGTTCTGCTCTTCCCTATTGGTTGCTATGACCTGGTATTTACTCAAGGGGAATTTACATGCTTTTTAACCATGTGACATTACATACTTTCCAAACTGTTGCCAGGGTCAGAGGGGAAACAATAACAACCTCTACATTACATTATGGGCCGTTTCTCTTACAATTTACCATTTGTTTCTTATGGAGTGAATTTTGCTTGTCACACTGCTGCAGACATGGCTCTAGACCTGCGCAATGCAAGGGGCAATCTTATTTCTTTCCAAATACACAATGGTGTGTATATATGTGTGTGTATGCACATATATGTAAAACATGTCGATATGCCATGCATTATGAAAGAGAGAAAAAATAGTAGGAAAGAGCTGATTCTGGTAGAAAAAAAGTAGGAAAAAATGTGAAAAGGAAAGAGAATTAGCATTCCTTGTTATGAGTCAGGCACCAGGGGCAAAGTCGATGGAGGAAAGTGGGATGAGGACACAATCATCTAGGTGTTAAGGAATGAATTTGTGCCAAAGGAAAAAAAAACAAAGCCCCAAAACAACCCTTCTCCCATACAGGAGAGTACTGTAAAAATGGAAGCTGGAAGCCCATCAGGGAGGACTTGTCAAGCCATTCAGAGGGAGAACCAAAGCCTGTGGGGCACTGATTTTTGCCTTCTGTCTCCCCTGGGGGCTGGGCTGCTGTCTCACCATGAGATGAGTTATCTTTGAAGTTCTGCTGAGCAGTCTAGATAGCATGACTTAAAAGTGCACATCCCTAAACAGAGTTTAGCTTTCAGAATACAAATGTATAGAGAACGAAACACGGTCAGAGAAAAAAACCCAAAACAACACAAGACATTTCCTTTTTAACCCTAGAGAATAGTAAATTATCCCAATAATTAAAAACCTATATATCAGAGCTGTCTATGTTCTTTAAAAATGCATATTTATCAGAGGGTATTTGACTGTGCTTTGTAACTCCTCAGTGGCCCTGAGGTGAAGGAGAGAGGAGAAGATGACCTTCCAGAGTCTTTGGGAAGATGGGAGATAATCAGGTGCTGCTGAGTTTGGAATATGACAGCGAGGAAGGGGTGAAAGCAAATAACCATTTCGGAGACCTTTAAAGAGGAGCTTTACCAGTTTTGATTAGATGTCACTTTTGTTTCTCCACTTCCTCACCCCATTATCACACCAGACATCCTCAGCATCATTGAACATAGTGTAGGAGTATTTTTATCTCCGTTTGCATTTTGGGATAGATCACATTATTGAGTGGAGATTCTTCATTACTCTCTGTACCCATGCTCCTTGCTGTGTAATCTTGTAGTGCTCTCCCCATGGGTAGGTGACTTGCTTGCCCCTTAGCTCTGAACTCACCTAGATGGTTTTCTTTGGCTAGTATTTGTTGTTGTTAGGTGCCGCCGAGTCCATTCTGACCCATAGCAACCTCTTGTACATCAGAACAATACACTGCCCAGTCCTGCATCATCCTCATAATTGTTGTTTTTCAACCCATTGCTGTAATCACTGTGTCAATCCATGTCACTGAGAGTCTTCCTCCTTTTATTCTAGTGGCATCCCCCTGCATTATGAAACATGATGCCCTTTTCCAGGACTGGGTCTCTCCTGATAACACGTCCAAAGTATGGGAGATAAAATTTCACTATCACTGCTTCTAAGGAGCATTCTGGATATACTTCCTCCAAGACAGCCTTGTTTCTTCTGGAAGTTGATAGTACATTCAATATTCATTATCAACAACATAATTAAAATTCATTCATTATTCTCTGGACTTTTTTTTTACTGTGAAGTTTTCATATGCATAAAGTAACTGAAAATATAGACAGAATGTTTACAGATGTGATTCAAGTAAGTCCTTACTTCGTATGGACTTGAGCCCTTGAGCTTGTTCTTTTGCCAGGAGAATGGGAGACACATGGACACGTGGCACTGACATGCCCCAGCCAGATCTACCCTAGAATAGAGCCCCCGAAACCCACAGATATGTGTGAATTCAATTGGAACAGGCAGAATCACTTGACCTACCTGAGCCTAGAACAGTTGAATCCTGCAGATGTGTTATTAATAAATGTTTGTAATTGAATGCCACTGGATTGTGTGGTGGTTGCTAGACAGAAGAATTAAGTGACAGAAATTTCATTCAATCCAGTCTGTTCATGGCTGCCTGTATTTTCTTTTTAAAATGAAATGATGATAATTTTTCATTTTCTTTGCATATTGTACTTTAATGACTCCACATTACCTGTAAGGTAAAGCTTAAACTCTCTCAAAGGTTAATTGGAGTTCTTTCATAAGGTGGCATCTGGATATATTTCTAGTCGAATCCTGTATTGTATCCCACTAGCTTCAGTTTTACCCACTGAGACACACTGAATTATTTACATCGTTGGCTCATGTGCCTCCCATGTGGCCTAAAAACACTTTCTGCTGCTCCCTGGTCCCACCCCACTAGACCCAAATCTCCAATTAATTAACTTCTATTTGCATTTGAACTCCAGATAAGGTGGTGGAACCTTCTGGAAGCTTCTCCTTGTTCACACCCACTCCAGGTATGGGAGGATGCACAGAGTACTTCCCGCACATCTTATTCGAGACATTTCTGTCATTGCACATATCACACTGCTGACACGTGTGTGCCATCTATCTTTATCTTGATCTACCAGTTTGATAATGAACATCTTGGAGGCAGGATTGTTTACTATCTGCCCTTGTATCTTTTGTACCTAGTGGAGTGTTTGGCACAGAGTGGTTGTGCAGCAAATATTTGTAGACGGAATCGATGTGCGTTCATTTTCTGATAACCAAACAGATGTGTTGGTGGCATATGGGAGCTACTTTCTGCTTTTGTGACAACTGGCAGTTGAGTTTGCTTGGAAGCATAAGCACCCAGTTAAAGACCAAACATTGCTTTCTTATTCTTCATTTCCTTCTCTCTCTAAACTACCCAATCTCACATGCTTTATAGTGCTTTTAGATGTGATTGTGAATTATGATCAAGTCTAGGCCTTTCATCTTCAAGACTAACAATCTATATTCCATGTTTCTCAGAAGGGAGAGGCTATTATAACTATATTTTTGCTTATCAAGAGAATTGTTAATGGTTATCCTGAAAGGTGTATGTGTGTGGGGGAATCTATAAATATCTAACTCATATTGAAGCCGTAAGCTTACTTTCTTCCTTTACTAATGAAATTCTTTCCAAGTGCACCGCCAGAATTGCTACATAAACATTACACAGAGAAAAGACACAGCCTGTAATGATTTTCCCCCCTTCTTACCTGTTTAGTTCTCATTTTGGAATCCAGCGACAGATTGTTGTAGGTATAATGTGCCTGTGTGACTCCACAGAAGAGAACAGCGACGATCCCTGAAATTTAAAACAGACCAGTCAAAACCAACTTTCTTTCCTGTATAAGTCAAAGAATAGGGATATCCCATGTTGAAAATGAACTTAGTTTCAGGTTAGTTAAAACTGCTAATAATCATCATGATAATGGAGCCTGGGTACATCTTACCACTTGTCTTACAGGATTAAACCTAAAGAAACACGTTATGTAGTAACTTCTCCCTGAGGATAAACGATTCCCTGTTCATGAGTTAGGAAAGTTAGAGTTGGAAAAACTTTGAACAAAAGACTATAGAGTCAGTTCTGGATTTCTCTTAGTCGGCACTAGCCACTGTGCTGCGTTTGACAGCAAATGTTAGCATAACATTGCGAGATCTTTGCTTGTCATTGTGTACGTTGAGGTTTCTGTCATGCCATAATTCAGTGTTAACATCCATGAGTCACATACCTAGACATCTACAAGAGTTTTGTTTGTCCCTGCCCATTCTCCTACTTTCCAAGCAATAGAGGCTCTTGCTTGCTCCGGGCCTCTTTGGCAAAGCTGGACACTCAGGGATTGTGCTGGAGAGCGATGTCGGGCACATACCAAAGGCACACACTCAGCGAAGGCGAGCCGGTCTGTCCTGTTAGCAAGTGGGCTTTCAGCTACTCCTTGGCTGACTACAGGGACTTATTTCTTAATCCGCCATAATACCCAGCTTTAGAGATTGGTAAATCAGTGGGAGAAGCCTTGCCTCATTGGGGGAGGTCTGATTTGATTCTTGGCCAGTGCACTTCCTGCTTAGCTGCAACCTGTCCGTCAGTGGAGAGGCATATGTTGCTATAAGATGTGGTTTTTGGGTGATAATTGGGCGTTAACCTCAAAGTAGAGAGTTTAAACTGACCAGTTGCTCCTTGAGAGAAAGATGGGGCTTTCTGCTTCATCTGCTTCAAGTTCTACAGCCTCAGAAACCCTATCTGGGATGATTATGAGTCAGATTAGACTCGATGGCGGTGGGTTTAGGTTTTCTTGGATGATGTTGAACATGGGGATATTGCAAAATGTGGCAGCATTTCTTTTTATCATGTGTGAGACACCCCTGACAACAACAGCACATCCAGTTCCAGCTGCCTCTTAAAGTCACATGGAGACCAAATGCTCTCTGGGGACAGCAGCAACCACAGGCAAATGCAGTTCTTGCCCCGGGGTGGGCTGGGTAGTGAGTGAGTGTGAGCTACACTCTATTTTTGATAAAACATTAGATTAATTATAAGAAATTGGCTTGGAGGAGAGCTTTGGGGGGAAAAAGAGAGGATACAAGTATTCCTCAACTCAGACCAAGGAAGTTGAATTGAATTTTAAGTAGCAGAATAATTTTTACTAAAAAGCACTTATAAATTAAATGCTGATGATTCTTAAGAGTATAAAGATATGTGAACTGAATACTGACATTTCAAGTGAAATTGCAATAAAGGATTTTAAAGAACCAACCTTATTTTTTTAAGTAGGTACACTAAATGCTTTATTTACATATTGGGCTCTGTTTTTTATTTTAGATTGGCAGTTGATAAAGCATCGCTAAGACATAGTTACATAATACAAGGTCAGAGGCGTTTCCATTATTTATTCCTTTTTAATGTTGTGCTTCAAAATTTTAAGCCTAAAGAATAAAAACTACTAGGAAAATTTCCCTATGTGTGTGTGTGTGTGTGTGTGTGTGTGTGCGCGCGTGCGCGCGCGCGCGCGCGCATGCATCAGTAAGCATTTCTACAGATTCTTTCGTAATTTTGATTTATTAGTCTTTCTTCAGAAATTCTAAGAAAAATGATTGGAAAATAATATTATTTCACTCCTCAAAGAATTTCTATTAAAAAGCAACCAAAGCCAGGGAAGCTTTTAGGGTACAGAAGCATGTGAAGTACTTTGAGGAGGATGACCATGCATGCTGTTTTGGCATCCAAAGTCACTCTTTATTAATTTAAATATATGATTTATCTGCTTCTGCCACTTGGGAGTCTGTTGCAGGTTCTTTCTTGGTGAGGTATTAGCTGACCTTCCCGCTGTTCCCAGACCCAGTTTGACTATATATTGATCTCTGGAGCAGTAGTGAATCACAGTGGGGGTAGGGAGTGAATACATTCATTGTGTGAACCAGGGTGAATAACAAAGACATGTTATAAAGAACTGGGAAGGAGGCTAAGATTGAGTGAATGAATACCTACTGTGGGTCAGGAGCTGTGCTTTCATTTATATAATCTTATTTATTACACAGATTCATTATCTTGCAACAGGCTTACCAAAATTCACAGGACCTCACACTCTCTTGGCTCCATGGGTGGTGTGAAAAGTTAACAGGCTGGAGACTCAAGGTCACCCACAGGCACCTTGGGAGAAAGGCCTGGCAATCTACTTCCTATTGCAGGGGCCCAAATGTTGGGATCATCCTTTAATTCTCTCTTATTGGACATAAGTAATCTTTTCACTTAAACTAAACCCAATCACTTCCCAACACCTCCACCCTTAATATTCTTGTGCAAGCCTCCATCATCTTTACTTGAATCACAGCAATAACCTCCTAACACGCCTTTCAAATTCCCTTCTAGTGGCACGGTGGGTTAAGTTCTCAGCTGCCAAGAGTAAAGCCAGTGGTTCAAACTCATCTCTCCAGGGGACAAAGACGAGGCAGCTTTCCGCCCTTGTAAAGACTGACAGCTGTGGAAGCCTTATGCAGCCATTCTGCTTTGCCTCACAGCATCACGAGTCACAGTAAGCTCGATTGTACGGAGTTTGGACTTATCTCCTTTATTCTCAACAATATATTCTCTACCCTCCCATAGTGATTCTTTTAAAACCAATCAAATAATGTGAGCCCTCTGCCCCAAATCTTCTATTGGTTTCTCATCATTTGAAAGGCTTTATACGATCTGATTCAGACCTTGCTCTCTGACCTATCTCCTACTTTGTCTCCACTCGCCTCACTCCACCCCTTTGACTTTCAGCTCCCACCCCTTGGACAGCTCTTCTTCAGTACTCACATGGCTCTACCCCTCCCTCTAGATCTCTTTTCAGATGTTAGATTATGCAAAAGACCTGTTCTGTTCACTATAAAAACCATCCTTGAAGTCCAATGACTTCCAAATCCATAACTTGAGATAGTAGTCATCTGCTTCTTCTCACACTAGGGTGTTTCAGCTTTAATTTCAAGGGAATGTTCCTTTAATCTGCCACAGGTGTGTTCAAGGTAAAGTCCAAATTGCTTGGTGTGGTTTACAAATAAAATCCTTCTGTTTTGGCCTACAAAGGATATTGTGTGGCCTAGGAAGTAGTGCCCCTTTAAAGGACAGAGTCTAAAATCCCAGTCGTGTATACCATACAGCCTGGGTCACCCAGGGTTAGATAGAAACTAGATCTAAAGTGCCCAGTTAGGTATACCAGGCGTAGTCTGCCATTGAGGGGCTATAGATATAAAAATAAAGAGTCAATGCTGACTCATAGTGCTTCCCTGTGGTTGTCCAAAGCTGTAACTCTATGGGAGTAGAAAGCCCAGTCTTCGGAGGAGCTGCTGGTGGTTTTGAACTGCTGACCACGCAAATTGCAGCCCAGCTTATAACCACTAAAACCACCAGGGCTCCTACTACAAGGGGGGTGTTATATAAATTTAAATGTTTTTCCCAGTGGCAGGTTGCCCAACCTGGTTTATCTGCCCAAAGAGGTGAAATTACTTTCTCTGAGAGAGAGATGCCCCTCTCAAATTCTGGACTAGAATTTTCATTACAGTTTGTGAAGCCCCCTTGTAAGAGTGTCTGTTGATTTGGGGTGACTGTGGAACAATGTTATATTGCAGGAACTGATTGGTCTTCTGCCTCTCCCCACAACATGAAAAACTGACCCCAGCTGGCGTCAGTGAGAAAGGTTTTTACAATGTACAAATATGGGGTGATAATATGATAATAGGCAGGCACACCACCTCATTGCTCGGGAGAGCAGTTTGGAAGATCATGTGACTTGAGAGAAAATGCCTGTTTTTGGTTTGGTGTTTATCTTCATGACTGTGGTCTCATAGAATATTTGCCTTTTTGTGATTGACCAACTTTGCTCAGCATATTGGTTTCTGGGTCCATTCCTGTCAGGAGGTGTTTTGTGTTTCCATCGCTGTTTTTCAGGGTTGCATAATATTCCATCTTGCGTATGTACTAGAATTCCTTTACCCATTCTTTTACTGATAGGAATTTGGGCTGTTCCTGGTTCTGTGAACTGTGCTGCAATGAACATGGAAGAGCATATGTTTGTTTCTGTTGTGTCTTTTACGGCTTTTACTGGGTATATATGCAGTAGAGGTATTTCTAGGTCATCTGGGACTTCTATTCCTTACTGTTTTAGGCAGCATCATATCACTTTCCATAATGGTTATAAATATTTTATAAATATATTAAAAAGTCATGTTTCCATCTTTCCATACCGTTTTCCATCATTTGTTGTTTTCTATTTTATTTGAGTGGGGCTATCACTATGGGTATAAGGTGGTGGTGCCTCAGTATTGTTTTGATTTGCATCTTTTGGGTGGCTAGTGGTCATGAGCATTTTGTCATGTGTTTGTTAGTCATGTGAGGCTCATTTTTGGTGAACTGTCGGTTTCTGTATTTTGTCCACTTTTTAGTTGTATTATGTGATTTTTTTTCTTATTGAAGTGATGCAGAATTCTATCTATTTGAACAATTAGTCCCTTGTTCCTTATGCCATTGCTAAAGACTTGTTTCCCAGTCTGTGGGCTTTCATTTGACTCTTTTGATGAAGTCCTCTGATGTTCATGTGCCTCAGTCATCTACTTTGTCTCCCATGGTGGGTGCTTCTTTTATTTTATTGGGAAGTAGCTGGAGGACCTGCAACAGGGCCCTGGAATTTGTCCCAACTGTGCTATCGATGATCCTTCTTGCTCTAGGACTTGCACTTAGGCTTCGAGTCCATCTTGAGTTCATTTCTGTGCATGGGATAAGGTAGGAGGCCTGTTTCATTCTTCTGCAGATGGACATCCAGTTGTGTC